CAAAGATTTTCATGTTTTGTTTGGATCCAAGATTCTCTAGAAGTAAAAAAATCAGCTAAATAGGTTTTTGTAACAAAACAACCAGCAGGAAAAACTTCAATAACCAGTTTATTAAAAATAAAAGAAAATTTGTTCTGCTTTTAAATCAATTAATAGACTATATTTTTTACTTTCTCTCTTTGGACAGATTCAGAACCCAAACACAGAGACAGCAGGTAAAATATCAGGTGAAATATCACCTGATTTCATCTGATATTCCAGGTGAAATCTGAGCTGCACTCACCCATGTAGACAGAGCATGACCCATATAGATGAGGAACCGGGCTGAGGAGAAGAACCGTCTGATGGACTCTGAGGAGACATTATATATTGTTATATATAATGGTTATATATTGTTGTTGTTGTTGTTGTTGTTGTTGCTGCTCGTGCAGCTCACCGCTCCATGTCTCCTTCTTGCTCGCAGTGTTGTCCATCCTGCTTCTCGCGGTTTCAGGTTCGGTTCAGGTTCGGTTCTTTGTCCAGCCGCTTTCTGCTCCAACCGTCGGCAGCAAGAAGCGGAGAAATGAAAAAGCAAAAGAAAACGCGGCGTTCCTCCTTTTCCTCCCCTCCGAACTTAGCTAACACTGTAGCTGAAGTTGGAAGGAAATGTTGTTCTGTTGCGACGGACGGGTTCGGCCCAAACAGACTGCGGCTCTGTCCGGTTCGGACCGTGGCTGCTCGGCTCTCCTCTCCTCTGTTTACGTCCCGCCGTTACATATACCCACGCTGTGACGTCACCATTTGCATGGGGCCGCGGCCCGCGCACGCGCACAGTGGGCGGGGCGACTGGAGGTTAAAGATGGCGGAACCTCCGTCACTAAATAAAACCGGTTCAGTTCTTTTCTTTTCCGGTTTGGCGACTTTTCTTCAGTCGAGAGGCTCCAGCATCAACATGTTCACAGCGAACAGCGAAAACGACTCAAAACGTCCGAATCTGTCCACAAACACTAAAACGGTTTTTACCAAGAGGATCTGTGCGACCAGGGCCGGACGAAGGCTGAATGGGGCCTGAAGCAGGATTTGATTGGGCTGCCCTCGTCCTATTCAGACCTGCTGCAGAAATGTAATTGATTAATTGGGTTGAATTTGGGTTCAAATAGCCAAGCTTACAATCAGTGTTTTCTGAACAAACTGAGCTCAAACAAAAGCAAAGATTCAACTCATAGCATCAGATTCTAACTTTGTTAACTCAACAGTCCTGGTCGTGTTCAGGAACCAGCCAGGCTCAACGCTGCGGGTTCCTGGGAGGTTCTGGAACTGCAGCGTCAGCATGGAGGACTGTGCTGCAGCAGCTGGTGCTGCAGCACCTGCTGCTGGTGCTGCTGAGTTGGAAACAGGAAAACAGAACACACAATGACTTGACAGAGTTTGGCCAAAATGAACTGCATGTTTCCATTTGTCATAACTTCTGAATTCCAGGACAGAAACGTCTCTGCAGTTGGAAAGTCGGGCCCTCCGGTCCGGCTGCAGCAAGTGAGAAAGTTCAGGCTGCAGCAATGACAGATTTTTATCCATTTGATCTGGTTTCTGTTTTGGTAACTTGTGAGAAAATGATCAAATTCTATTTTTGATTTAAGAATTTGATTAAACATATTTTATGTTCAGCTAAAAACAAAACAAAAAATTTAATCTTAATACTTTCTTAAAATGTTTTAAAACTAAATTTAAAAATATGAAAATGCTCAAAACATGCATCACAGATTAGCATTAATATACAATCTACTAGATGTTCTCCAGGGAGGTCAGAGGTCAGTAGGACAACATGGAGCAACAATTAATGAGCTTCCAGATCTGAGGGCCCTCAGAGGAAAGTTTAGTTTTTCTGTGAATTAGAGAAATATTGTCTTTTTGTTTCCAGTTTCTGGAAAGTTTCTCTAGAAAAGTTTCAAACTGAACTTCTGCTGTAAACATTTGTTTAGAAAACGTTTAGAGAAACGCGGCTCTGCATCGTCAGCGCCGCCATGTTTCAAATGGCTCATTCTGTAAAGAAGATGAAAAATTATTTGATTTGATTTTTGGATCATTTAAAACACCAAGTAATTGGATTCAAAGCAATAAAAATTGGGATATAAACATTTAAAAAATAATAACTACAATAAATTAAAAATATTGTTTCATATTACCAAAAACATCAGTTTATTCCATAAAAGAATGAATTTTATTTATTTAATGTCAGAATGTTTTCATCAGCTTATTGTTAATGGCATCCAGTCTTTAGATTATTTCTGTCTTTGATTTTTTTTTAGTTATTTGTTCTGTAAATATTTTTTTTGTCTTTTAATAAAACTTTGCGTTCTCTCCTGTGAATTACTTTGTGAGCTTTTTGTTTTCTTAAAGATGAATTTTACCTGTTGTTCTGGTTTCTGCATATTTATATTCCTACACTGTACAGTTCCATTAATGTAATAAAATTAAACTAACATGACTTTGCATTAACAGGTTCCAGCTAATCTATATTTTTTTAATGATCTGCTTTGTTCGTGAGGAAGCTGCAGAAGGATTTGGTCATTTGAAAGCGTTCAGGTTTCCATGGATGACTTGCATTTCTCCGGCTGTCAACAGAGCAGAGATGTAATTACAGGCTGCTGCTCCATCAGGTAACAAACAGTGAGGCGGATCCGATCAGCTGGAGGCCTCTCTGGTTTCTCTGGGCTTTATTGTTCATGGAGATGTTTTTGGATCTGCAGTGATGAATAATTGCCACTAATCCCAGCAGCGTTGTGTTTCTGAGCTGATGTTGTTCTAGAGCTGAAGGATTCCAGAATGATCTGTCCAGATTCAGCGGCCGACCCGGCGTGTTGTGAAAGAAACAAAAATGCTCTCTGGCTTGTTTCACTTCTCCCTCTGAAACAAACAAAGGAGGGGCCGGAGCGTCACATTCCATCGCTTTGTCTGCAAGATAAGAGTCCAGTTTGACTTCACGCATCCAAAAGAGTAAACATTCAATATTTAATGTCTTGGATTTTGTAAACATCTTCATTTGGTGCAGAGGAAACAATGAAGAACTGAAAAGTGCGTCTACGTGCTTCAGGGCGCAGATGAACCTGTTCTGACCTGAAGGGCCAGAGGGGGTCAGAGGCTCCAGGTTCACTGAGTAAACATGCAGAAAGTTGAGATGTAAACTTTGAGCAGAGTGAGAGTGAGCAGGCTGAGGTTCACATCGCTGCCGTTCATCTCAGGCTGTCCAGACAGGATGGATCTGCAGAGCGACACCTGAAACCTGGACTCAAATCATACAGAAAGTACTGTGTACCTAATAAAGTGGCCACTGGTGGTAAATTTCCAGGATTTCTGAATATCAGTAGAAATATTTCTATTTAGTCTTTGGCTAAAGACTAAATATTTTGCCATTTCTCCCGCTATCGCTAGGCTAGCACAATTCCCTGTGCTGTAGTCCACTTCCTGGTTTGGTCTCTGGACCGCTTGGCATTCACATATGCATTCAAACCGAACCCAGACTGGTTGGGAGAACCAGAGGTCAGAGGTCAGTTAACATTCACACCAACTGAACTGTACTTTCTACAGAATTTGGATTAAAGTGGATTCAAAAAGCATCTGCCTGATTTTAGAGGAGCCGTCCAGTTCAGATCTGGAAAGCCAGATTAGCTCTAGAGTTTCTACTGGACCGAACCGAGCTGATTCTGGTCGCTTAATTCGGATTTTCAGAATAAAAGCTGGTGTTGTCCTCTCTGGCTGCTGTCTCATGTCGTGAGGATGCAGAACTGGCATAAGCGGGTATTTTGGCCGCAGCGGTAACAATGGGCTCAGGTGAGTCTTTGTGATGAATACAGGGCCCAAACAGAGCAGAGAGCCGCTGGAGCGGAACCAGATTAGTGGGTCGGTGTGTCAGCCCGCCGGGCTCAGCTGGCTGTCATCAGCGGTCAAACGGCTGCTCTGTTATTTCCAGCAGCAGGTTTGTCTGCCTCCTTTTGTTGCATAACAAGCTGTGTTTACCTGGGCTAATTTTATCCCGGATGGATAAAAATATGAATGACTGACCCGCTGCGGCTCAGCAGCGACGCTGGAGGATTTTCAGCTGTTCTTCACGAGAGCTGAGCTTTTCACAGCTAATGCTAACAGCGTTTTATCAGAGCAGGTTCATCAATCTGCTGGTTCTGACACTGCAGCGATGCGTCTGTAAGACTTTGATCTGCTTCACAACAATAAACATCAAAGGTCTGAGACCGCCTCCCAACATGACGGCGAGTCTAACAGCGACACAGCAGCAAACACCTGACAGCCGGTCCGGATCGATACCAGCCGGTCCGGATCGATACCGGCCGGTCCGGATCGATACCGGATGAACCAGATGTTTGGTTCCAGATTAGTTTTCTGGCCAATCATCCAGGGCCGGTCCAAATCTTTCTGGGGCCCTAAGCTGATTTTCATCTGGGGCCCCTCATATCAACACCAGAAGCTTCATCATTCCTGAGCTAACGCTCATTAGCATCATTGTAATTAGCTTACATCACATCAGTGTTATGGTTATTTTAACCCAAGAGGGGAAACAAACTGAAAAATAGACTTTGATATGCAGAGTTTGTGGTGTAACTATTTGAAATAGTTTGTTATTCTAAAAAGTATAATCCAGTATATAGAGGTAGACGATATGGCTGAGAAACTCAATATAAGAATTTATCAGTTTTTTGCCCTAATACTTGAGATACTGTCAAACTGGTGATTGCACCCTATCCTGTTTAATTCAGTTTCCCCTTAATATGGCTCGTAGAAGATGATCCATTTTCGCTCCAGTTGTATTGCGGAATTGAAAATGGTCATCAAAGTTAATTTCATATTGAAACATGAGATTCTTTTACTCAGTATTTGATTGCATTTTGCTAAGAAAATAATATACTAAAGAATATGAAGTAAAATGATATTTTCCAGCGCAGCTATAGCACCCCCTAGAGCCGCCACGAGGCAACTATTCATTCATTGAATTATTTTGACATCCATGTTTTCCAAAAATTAACAGTTTCTTTACTTTTCTCTGAATGAAAACTATTTTTATTTAACCTCTTCAACATTTGGGACGTTCATGCAGTGAGAAAGTTGACACAATCAGTTGTTCTGCCTGCTGTGTTTAGATGCTCAGCAGCTTCTCCAGGACGGAGGCTCCGGCCGGGGCGCTGGTGAAAATCGTCCCGACAAAGACGCGCGTCCCCCAGAGGGGATGGCGCAGCGCCCGGCAGCAGCCCAGGTCCTCGATACGGAAGCCCAGCTGGGCGAAGCGCTCGTCCGTCTCAAACAGCGAGTTGTTGGTGTAGGGGCCGAGGAAGGCCAGGCCGGAGGACGGGTCGATGAAGTCGGCCCAGAAGCCGGCGTCCCGCAGGGCCCCGCAGATCTCCAGCGCTCCGTGGATGAACGTCTCCAGCTTCTCCTCCCGCTCGCGCTCCACCGCGTCACTCCATGACGTCATGTCGCTTCGGGTCTTCTGGGTCACAGTGATGACCGTCAGGTCGGACCCTGGAGCCTCCGGGAACATGGACAGGAAGTCTATTCTTAACGCTTCCGGGCAGGACAGGATGGCACACTCCACCCTGGAGTCGGAACCGGGAGGTTCGGAAAGTTCGGAGGGAAGAACTTCATCAGTTACCTGGAAACCCGAGAGCCCGTTTCTCCTGCTGTGCTCTCCTTCTTCCTCCAAGGGGCGCTGCAGGCCCCCTGGGTCACACAGGTAAAGGTGACGGTCCGGACCGGCTGGGTTCTGGTCGGACCCAGCTGTTCTGGTTCGGACCAGCTCATAGTTCTTTACGGAGCAGGCAGCAGCTGCAGAGGCCGGTCTGCTGGCAGCCAGGCTGCGGACCAACACATTGATCCCGGACAGGTACCGGACCAGCCTGGTTCTGCCGGACAGAACCGGACTCAAACAGGACATTTTACCGAACCTCTGACCGCAGACGAGTCTCTCTTTTCCTCCGCTTTTTCAAAGTGTTTCAGTTAAAACACGGAAACTCGTCGTGTCCTTGTAAACTCTCCGACCGTGTAAATATTCTAGCGCACATGCGCATTTCCCACCTACTGCTTCTTTACTTCAGCTGTTTTCACACGGTTTTGTCGCCCTCTGGTGGTGTGGCGAATAAACTCCGGGTTTATCATTTTCTTCATTTATTTTAACCATACTCCATAACAAAACAATGGGCATGCATTACTTGTCCAGTTTCTCTTAAAACAGAAGAAGGTCTTTGAGAAGTTGTAAAGCGGTTTTAAAAGCCAGACTTTCTTCAACTCTGTTAAACATACACTTCATGTAATTTGTAAATCGGAACACTTGAACATCAATTTTAGTCTTGCAATATATCTAAAAAACATTGCATAACCAAATATAGCTTTTCAAACTATTGGATTTGGTTTTTACTTTGAAATAAAGAAGAATGTCATAATATTGACAAAATTTTAATCCTTAAATGTTTTTAAATCAACTGTATATGATGGCTGGATAAACTACACAGCAAGTTTGTTGTATTTTTTCTTGTTTGTTGCCTCTCGCAATATGGCGGCGACGTCGACGTGTGATTCCGACTCTTCATCGTTCATGAACCGGAAGCTGTCTGTAAGGGGCAAACCCCAAACCCGGCGATGAACCTGCTAGCCGGTTGCTAGCTCCGTCAAATAGCGAAATAGCTTGTTTTAGTTCCGTTTTGGACAAAATGTCTCAAACAAACTGCGGCAGCAGCGATAATGTGAGTGAATATTCAGCGCTGGAGGAAGTGAACAGAAAGGTTCGTTAAAACCAGTTGCTGTCGGCTAACTCGCTGATGTAGAGGATGATGAGCAGCTTTCACATGTTTTAGTGCTGAGGTTCGGATGCGTTAGATGAATATTCTGACTTTCTCACGAGCTGAGTGTTTTTGTTTTGATTATTTCATCTTTTAGGTGAAGGAGCAGAAGATTATTGTGGACGAGCTTTGTAACCTGAAGAAAAACAGGGTGAGCAGAGCTAAAGCTAACATGCTGTGGCTCCACCAATCACAACCTGGCCTTCAGTTTAAATTACAGTGACAGGTCTCGGTTAAAATAAATAATCCAATTAATTGCAGAGTCTTATTGATTAATCATAATTAATAGAGAAAAAATTTGACAAAACAAACACTGTCAATTCCAACATTCTTTTTGCTGCTAACTTGTTGAATGAACAAACATCAGCTCAAAATAATCTTCATGTTTTTTAATCCTTTATTTGGTTCCTAAACCATCAAACTGCTGCTTTTGCCATTCAGTTTGTCTGGACTGATTGTTTAAAACGATCAAATCTGTTTCCTTGTTTGTGTTTATTTCCTGCAGAAAGTTTACATCCAGCAGAGGAACAGCAACGTTTTCTTCCTGGCTGACAGAAGTCAGACTCTGAGTTCCTGTAAAAGTAAGTGGATCTTTTCCGGGTCGTGTCTTCTGACCCTGATGGAGTCGTGATCTCGGTCCGTTCTGTCTGCAGAGGAGTTGGACTACATGAAGAAGGAGCAGCAGGACCTGTGAGGTCATCACCATGTGCGGGATCTTCTGCCTCCTGAGTCGGTCCGCGGCTCCAGAGGAACTGGACCCGGCGGTCCTGGAACCTCTGCAGAGGAGAGGACCGGACTCCAGCCGGGACGTCTCGGTTACAGAGACGGACTCTGGTTACCGGTGCCTGTTCTCTGCCCATGTTCTCCACATGCGGGGCCTCCTCACGCCGCAGCCGCTACGGGACGCCGACGGGAACGTTCTGCTGTGGAACGGGGAGATCTTCGCAGGCCTTCCGGTGGATCCGGACCGGAACGACACCGCCGTCCTCTCTCAGAGGCTGCAGTCCTGCAGAACCGCCGCTGAGATCCTGCCGGTGCTGTCAGCGGTCCGCGGGCCCTGGGCCTTCGTTTACCACCACAGGGCGACGGAGTGCCTCTGGTTCGGCCGGGACTTCTTCGGCAGGCGGAGCTTACTGTGGAGCTTCACGGCGGAAACGATGACCCTGACCTCAGTGGCGGCTCACGGTCCGGCCTCCGACCCGCAGCGCTGGCAAGAAGTCCCGGCCGCCGGCGTGTTCAGGGTCAACCTGAAGGAGTTTGCTCGATCCGGTTCCGTTTCCTTGGAGGTTTTTCCCTGGGATCATCCTGGTATTCCCTCCACCAGCCCGGAATTCCTTCCCGTCGGCTGCCAGGCGGCGATGAACCCGGCCGGGCTCGCTCTGTCCGCCCCGGTTCCTCCTCTGAACGAGTCACTTCCTGTCTCCAGCCCTGACCCGCCAACCGAGTCGCGGCTGTCGGTCCGGGAGCTGGAGGAGCTGCTGGAGGGAAGCGCGCGGCCGGATGAGGCGGATCACCTGATCCGAGTCCTGAGCGAGGCGGTGCGGAGACGAATCCAGGCTCCGCCTCCTCCGGCCGGTTCTGCCGGCATCGCTGTTCTTTTCTCCGGAGGAATCGACTCCATGGTCCTGGCCGCTCTGGCGGACTGCCATGTTCCCGCTCAGCATCCCATCGACCTGCTGAACGTCGCCTTCAGACTCCAGGAGCCAAAGAACCACAACAAGAAGCGGAGCAAGGATTCCCCGAACGGCGACCCGGCTGCAGCCCGGACCTTCAGCCCCTTTGACGTTCCGGACCGGCTGACAGGAAGGGCCGGTCTGGAGGAACTGCGTGGCCTGAATCCTGAGCGGCGCTGGAACTTCGTGGAGATCAACGTGACGCCGGAGGAGCTGCAGGAGGCGCGGCGGCAGCGGATCCGACACCTGGTGCTTCCGCTGGACTCGGTGCTGGACGACAGCATCGGCTGCGCCGTCTGGTTCGCTGCCAGGGGCGTCGGGGCCGTGATGGAGGGCGGCGGGTCCAGACCCTTCACCTCCTCAGCCAAGGTGACCTTTCACCTTCTGTAGCCGAGAACGATTTCCTGTTTTCTTCATGGTTCGACCTGCAGATCCAGATTTTTGTTCTTTATTCTTCAGATTTAAGAACAACATTAGACTGATTGGTTTATTGTTGATAAACAGTTTATTCTGGTGATTAATCATCTAAATCGTCACATTCCAGCCAATCAGAACCAGCACTAATCATCTCTACTGACAATTATTTCAGTAATGGATGAATCATGATGAATCGTTTCAGACTGAGCATAGATGAGTTTCTGCTAAAAAAAAAAAACCTTTTAAATGTTTTTGTTTTATTCAAATTAAGCCCATAAAGTGTTGGATGAACCCAGATTTTATATTCTGGGTCTTGGAACGTTTATGTTATTTTATTCTTCTCATGCAAGCCGTTGATCAACGATCCACGCAGTAAAACGTGAGTCCGGCTGACGCTCCTGTTTCTGCAGGTGGTTCTGACCGGAATCGGCGCCGATGAGCAGCTGGCCGGTTACTCGCGCCACAGAGTCCGGTTCCGGACGGCGGGACTCCGGGGGCTGCTGGAGGAGCTGAGCATGGAGCTGGGCCGGATCTCCTCCAGGAACCTGGGCCGGGACGACCGCGCGGTGGGAGACCACGGGAAGGAGGCCAGGTAGGCGGAGTCAGCAGCCCGGAAATGACTTTCAGAGAAATCTGATGGAAATGATTGAACATTAAAATCTGGGTTTTTCTTTTTGTTACAAAATAAAGGTGGAAAGTTCAGGTTTATGCTGGTTGAAGTTTCCAGACCCGTTTAGTTAAAATAAAAACCAGAGCAGCTAAAGATTATTATAGAAATCAATTAATCTGACAGTTAATAACTCTGATTAACCCATTATTTCCTGGTGATTAATTCCTTCTTTTGATGATTGATTGATTAGTCTGAAGTCTAATCAGATAAAAAGATTTTTAATTTGACCTTTTTGTTTGCAATATTAGAAACATGTTAAAATCTCCAACTTAAATTATATGGCAAAAGGTGTTTAATATCCCAGACTGTGAATATTAAGTTTTAGCAAAGTAGAAATTATATTTTTATCATAAAATTTGATTCCAATCTCATTTTAGATTATTTTCCTTATAATTTTATTTTAAAAAGTTTTTATTTTTTTCATTCCATCATGCAGAACAAAAACCAGCAAAAGTTTCTTATGAAAATATTTTGGTTTTTATTGAGGCTTTTTTCTGAAAATAGTAACAATAAAAGACAATCAAAGTAGATTTTTGAAATCCTTTTATTGGTCAAATTTTATTCTTTGATGACAGATGAACTTTGGGAGATTAAAGGTCAGAGTGGGAGCTAAAGGAAATAAATGCTTTTAAATGATTCATTTATTCTGCTGCTCAGAATGTGCCTGGTTCTGATCCGACCCGCTGCGTCCCGTTTGTCCCTGCAGGTTTCCGTACCTGGACGAGGGCGTGGTCAGCTACCTGAGCTCGCTGCCCGTCTGGCTGAAGGCCGACCTGTCTCTGCCGCGCGGCGTCGGCGAGAAGCTGCTCCTGCGGGCGGCGGCCAGGCGGCTGGGCCTCGGCCGATCGGCCGTCCTGCCCAAGCGGGCCATGCAGTTTGGCTCGCGCGTAGCCAAGATGGAGGACCGGCGGGAGAAGGCGTCCGATACATGCAGGAGGCTCCTGACCGGGTGACTGGCAGCCTCTGATTTCCTGTTTGAATCTGTCTAAAATCATTTGCTATTAAAATGCTCCTTTAAACGGTTCGTTGTCCTCCAGCTTCTCGCTGAAGTAAACGTCACAGTCCAGGTAAGACGGCAGGTTTCCCACGTCAAAGCGTCCGGAGATCTCATGGGCGAAAACCGGCTTCCTGATGACGTCAGAATCCAGTTTCAACATTTTAAATCATTTCTGGACGTCTGAGCGGCTGAAGGAGCGTTTCCTGTTACCTCGGGATGAGCCAGGACACGAAGTTCCCCGGAGCGTCGCGCTCTTCGATCGGAGCGTCCTGATGACACAAAGTTTCTCAGTGAGAATCTGAACGCCTGGAAGCTAAAACTCGTGGTTGGGGTTAAATTTGACCTTCTTCTCCTCCAGGAAGGCGTCCAGCAGAGGAAGACTCTCCTTGGAGAACACGTAGAAACACGGACACTGGGAAACATTTACAATATTCACAGGTCAAAACCTACGAGACGGAATATCATTAGATAGTGGAACAGCACCAGCTAAACTCTGTTCTAATAGCCTGTTAGCATTAGCTTCTGCTAAATCCAGTGTTCTAACTGTTCTGATGAGGCATGCTTTATGGCTAGCGCAGTTAGCATGTAGCTCTGGACTCACGGCTCTCCTGGACTCGGTCTCTGAAGGCCGCGGCTTTTCCTTCATCCGGAGAACCCGGAGGTCGTCATCCACCTCCAGGATCCCGTACTTCTGGGTTTCTGCTGAGCAGCAGGAGAACGTTCGTCCTTCCACTAACTGCAGCATGATGATGATGATGATGGTGATCTCACCTTCGTCCCTGCAGCGGTAGCACAGCAGCAGGCAGCTGTCGGCGCTCCGGGCCTGCAGCTCAGAAACCTTCTGTGTGACCCGACCCAGACTGAAGTCCTCCCTGAACAGCGTGTCGCTGCAGAAACATCAGAACCGGCATCAAGTCCCCGAAAGCCGCTCCGGGTCCAGACCGACCAGAACTCACCCTCCGATGACGATCACGCCGTCCTGGATGCCGAAGTGCTTCACCGCCAGCTGCAGGCAGGCGACGGCGCCGAGCCGCTCCTGGGACGGACAGGCCACGTTAATGTGGGTCGGATCAGAACCGGAGCGGTTCTAACGGGTTTCTATTAGTTTACTTCGTTGCTTCGCGTCTCATCACTGAGAATCTGCACTTCTGGAAACTCTGCGGCCCAAACGGCGAACGCAGCCTGGTGGAGAGCGTTGGTCTGGGGAAGAGCAGAACCGGAACCAGGCGGTCCGATTTAAAACCATCTGACGTTTAAATCTGGCTTCACTCCAAACTGCATGTCAGGTTATTCAGATTAAAGCAAAACTAAATGATGGAAAGTTCTTAAAGCTACAGGCTCCCGTTGCTATAGTAACAGGATTAAACAGGTCCAGCTTCCACCAGTTTGATCATTTTTAAACTACATTTGTGAACAAATCCCAGTTTAGATTAAACTTTTAGATTTGAGCTTGTTTTCCAAACAACTAGATGTTGAAAACTCTTTCATCTGATCGAATCACATTTAACAGCATTCAGTGAAATTTCAGCCTTAATGAGACCGGAAGCAGGGCCGCTGAGGTCGCGTTGCCTTGGCCCGGCCCGGGAACACAGAAGAACCCAAACAGTTCAAGTTTGGCTGTGTTGCTTTTTAACTCGAGGGGTCAAAGGTTGCGTGGAGTTGAGAAATCGGGTCATTTAGTTCATTAACCGGTTCCGATCCGGATCATTCCCTTCGGTTCCGTTTGATCATCTCTACTGAACCGTGATTGGAGTATTTGTTCCTACCACCACGTAGATCCCGTCCACGGTTCCGGACCGGGTCAGCGCCCGGACCCAGCGGCTGATCAGCGGGATCCGGCCCACCGGCAGCAGCGGCTTCGGGACCCCGACCAGGTGAGCGAACCTGCCGCTGCGGTCGGACGAAACGTCCCGCTGCAGTCTGGTTCCGTAGCCCGCGGCGAGAATCACGGCCTTCATCTGGATCCTGTCTGGGCCAGTCCGGGTCGGGATTCTGGTACCAGAACAGCGGCTGAACTGAGGCAAAGTTCCTGTTCTTCTTTAGAGGTTTGGAAGGAGCTCTTTAGCGCTCTACCGCCCCCTGCTGGAGGAACTCATGAAATCTGCAGAACACAGCAGAACCGGACCACAGAGTCCAGAACACAGCAGAACCGGACCACAGAGTCCAGAACACCAGCAGAAGTAGAAACTCTGTAAAACTGACTGGATCATAAATATTATTTCTATGGACATAATTTGCTGCTAGGTTCTCATGTGTCGTCGCTCGTCAGGCTGCATTTCCTCACGTTACTGTAATTAAATATAATTTGTAATAAAATCCTTTTTCATTTTCAGTGGAACCGTTTTACCCTGAAAACTCATTTGGATCAAATATTAAACTTGAGTGCATTATGTTTCTACTCTGGACCAAAGCATGAAATAAATTCTGATCCTCGTCTTCTCCGACCAGAACCGTTCATGTTGGACCTCTGACCCGACAGGAAGGACAAAACATAAGTTCTGACAAACTAACATTTATTGACCCAGTCGGGGTAAACCGGGTTACAGCAGCAGAACCGTCGGTCTACTCTGCGTCTTCCGACCCGCTTCCAGCTGCAGGCGGCGCCTCCGGTTCTGGAACCGTGAGCGGTTCCGACTGATCCGATGGCTCGGCCTCGGGCTCCTCCATTGTTTCCTCCAATGGCTCCTGGCCTTGTTCTGGTTCTGGTTCCTCTGCGACTTTCGGATCTTCTTCCTGCAGAAAAGTTCCTCCAGACTTTAAGTGACCAGGTTCTTGTTTCGGGTCAGAACCACTGGGACTCAGACTCGACTGCATTCTAGAGTCTTTCGTTTGGTTTTTCGGACCAGAGTCGGGTCGGTTCTCCAGATTGTGGTGACCTTTCAGAACAGGAAGTCTGCTCACCTGGTGAACCGGGTCGGTGGTCTCTGGTGTCGGTGGCCCCGCCTCTTCCTGTTCCATCGGTTCCTCTTCATCCCTCAGCAGAACGGTTTCCTGCTGTAGCGTTGGTCCTGGTCCTGGTTCTGGTCCTGGTTGCTGTACGACAGTTGGTTCTGCCGGTTCCTCCTGGAACATCAGAGGACAGTGAGACCCTGAACCCGACCGGACCAAGAGGGAGGAACGGCGCTGACCTCCAGAACCGGCTCCGCTGGCGCCGGGTCGGGCTTCTTGTGGGCCTCCAGCACCGCCATGACGGAGGTCGGGATGTGAGCTTGCTGTGGACAGGAAGGGGACGGTCAGAAGCGTGGTGCAGCGCAGCGTGGCGGGCAGGAAGTGTGAAGAGTTCTGACCTGATGCGGCGTGAAGGACAGGACGTGCTGCAGCAGCGGCGCCCTCATCTCCGGGCAGCGCTCAAACACGCTGGCCAGCTGCAGCGGCGGCAGCTGCAGCAGAACGCTGTAGGACTGCGGCTTGGTCCGCTGGCAGCACTTCACGAAGCCCTCCCACACCTTGGGGTACTTCCACACCTGGAGGACGGGCGGAGGTCAGGCGCCGACCCGATGGAGTCGGCTGACCCGGCGGCGGCGGTGGCTCACCTGCTTGACGATGAGGCGGGACAGGATGTTCATGACGAAGCCGCCCAGGCGCGGGTACATAGTGAGGGACTGGATGACGGTGCGCATCAGCAGCATGGGCAGCGGGTTCTGCTCCATCAGCTGCTGCATCACCACCGCCAGCACCTCCGACGTATAGACGTTCTTCTCCCCGAAGCACAGGTTGGTGGCTGTCGGCCCACACAGGAGATCAGACATATTTAACCACCAAAAACATCCTGAAAATACCCCTACTGACATCTAGTGGTGAGGATGAAGACTGCAACAGATCCGGCCCTCCAGAGGGCGATATAACACCAGGCAGCGACACATCAGGCATCAATCAACAAGGTTCAATTTAACCAATTTAACCTCAGCATTACTGCAGGTAGTTCAGGGCTTCTGCTAAATGCCATGTGGGACAACTTATTTAAAATGATACTGAATAAAGTTCGTCCTCTCAAATAAATCTTAGTTTTGTTACTTTAGGAGCTGTTTTCTGATGTTTAGACTCAAACATCACAGCTGTCAATGATTCAGTTCAACTCGTTATTTCTGCTGCCTGGTTTGTTCTCGCGGTTCGTGACACATCAGGGTGTTACTAAAACGCTGGGACCCTGAAGCAGCTGGTGTCTGAACTCTGACCTTTGATGATGGATTTCATGTCGCACTTTGTTGAGTCGATGTTGTGCAAGGCGATGAGCAGATCTCCTGGAGTCAGTGGAGAAACCGAAGAGCTTCCCTCACCTGCCAACAGAAACCAGATTCACTAGCTAACGGCTAACTGCTGAACCGCTTCGCTGCATCAAGACAATTTATCAACAGGTTTTGCTCTAGTTTGACAGAAAAACATGTTTAAGCTGCATAGCAGTAGCGCGGGGGAAGCGGCGCCCCCTGGTGGGGAGTCAGAGTCGTACTGTGCTGAGTTCCCAGCAGCCGGTTGAAGACTTCCTTCACGACGATGGGGTTGAGCTTGATGAGCTTCGGCAGAGCCTGGATGACTTCATTCTGAGGAGGAAACAGAACCGTCAGCGAAACGCCAGCCGAGCGGCGCCAGCCCGACCCGGCCCGTTCCCCCAGCAACTCCACCTTCTCCAGGCCGTTGATGACCGGGATCAGGAAGCGAACGTCCGGAACGCGCTTGTGGTAGAGGTCCCGGACCCGCTCCACCAGCTCCGGCGATGGAGGCACTGGGCGGAGGAACGACACGCATCAGAACCGGACCAGTCCCATCTGGACCTTCGTGTTTTTTTCTGTCTGGGTTTAGATCTTTCCTACCTTTATCGGTCAAAATGTGCAGGCAGCGAGTGACCAGAGTCTCCGCCCCTTTAGGACAGTTTTCAACCAGAAGCAGCAGCTCTGGAGAGTTCATCCCCATCCCGCGGATCTGAAAGACAAAACCCAACAGTCAGGGTGAGCTGCAGCTCTATAGATCTGCAGAGTCATTCTAACTACTAATGTCTCAGATCCAGAACGCGTGCTTTAGCCTCTCAGGTTCTGATGCCACAGAAAACGCTCATTTTCCCAGCTGATGCATTTGTACAGCAGGAGGAACAGCAGCAGATAATGAGCCCAAATTCATCCTGAGCTGCTGGACAGCGCACAATCACAAGCTACATCATGACAGATTTGGTTCTGTTGAGGCCAACATGTTATGTCACTGATACCTGGATGAAATTAGCATTAGCATTAGCTTCCACTGAATAGCATATTAGAGGCGCTGGTGAGGCGCGTAGCGTCAACAGAACTGATGTTTATGAAGATTGTTATCGTTTCACTGTTGGGTCGGATTGCAGATCCAGACCGGCTGACTCTGCTGATCCACACGGGGTCATAAGTATACATACACCCCGTAATGTCTGGTCAAACGTCTCCTAGAGGAGACCTGAGGACAGACTCACCGGCTGCTCGATGGCGCGCAGCACGCTGCGCTTGATGTCGGCGATGGCCTCGGTGTAGACGGACGCCAGCTCATGGACCAGCCGGTGGTTCAGCGGAAGGAGGGACAGGTAGAGGAAGAGACACTGTCTCACCGTCTCCTCCGTCCACGGAGCAGCAACCTCTGCAGGGACATCAGACATTAGTCCCTCTGGAAACGTAGCCGCTTCCTGCGCTGTACCGGGTCGGTGAGGGACGCTGACCCGTGTCCTTATCGGCGCCGAACAGCAGTGAGGGCGGGTTGGGGTGAACCAGGAGCTGCAGGTAGTTCAGGGCAAACTTCTCGATGTAGTCCCTCAGGTGGTCCTTCTCATACATCCGCTTCAGGAAGGCCAGGGCGGTGCTGCGCACCTGCAGCACATCCACAGCTCCACCTTAGCATTAGCTTCAGATTTATCTGACCAGATCCAGAGCACAAGCTTCATCAGAGCTTAGCATTAGCATTAGTTCAGAATCAGTTTGATCAGGCCATATTTGCTCCATTTTCATGTATAAAATCAGGACGGATGGATTTGATGAAACCAGAATAAACCAGGGGAGCGGCCCGGCCCGGCCCGGCCCAGTCAGCAGAACCAGACCTTCTCTTTGTCGTGGGAGCTGAGGTCCAACAGAACATGGAGGTACTGGAACTGCCTGGACGGCCTCTTGACGATCAGCTCCTTCAGCGTCGTCATGCCCAGATAAACCCGGGACTGAAACAGAGGTCAGAGGTCAGCAGACAGCTCAGCAGGACAGCCAGAGGCGGAGGACGGCGCGTCTCGGTCACCTCGTCCTCACAGTAGCGGCGGATCACCTCCAGCGCCGACTCGGTGATGATGGGAGCCTCCAGAACCAGCTTGGTGAAGAGCCTGGAACAGAAAACGGGTCGGACTGATCCGGTTGCTACAGACATTCCAGCTTCTTTCCCAGAAATTCAGCTTCAGCCAAAAATAATTAATCTTTTAATTTATGTTGAATATTTCAACAGAAACTGGTGACTAGAAAATCCAGAACTGGATCAGCACCAATAAGGAAATAGGAAGGAAAAGGGTAGGGAGAAGAACACATTGGAGGACAGAGTGGACCGCGGCGGCGCCCCACTGACCCGTCCCTCTGCTCGGGTTTCTCCTGCAGCCCGGACAGCAGCGTGTAGAGGCAGTGGTCGTATCCGTCCAGCAGGCCTGCCGGCAGCTGGCTCAGGTAGCTGTTGTACTCCTGGTACAGCAGAGAGAAGGCCAGGTCGCTACGGCATCGCATGTCCTCCAGGACGTAGTCCAGGACGTCCTCCTTCATCACGCCCTCGAACTGGGTCACCAGCCGGGACAGCAGCTTCACCCTGACCTGCATCATCATCATTATCACATAGCCATGGAAACTTACCCAGCCAATCACAGATGAGTATTTCTCAACCAGCCAATCAGAAAGCAACTGAAACCTAATACTGGAGATGCTTTCAGGTATTTTTTTACTTTGTTTTAACTTGGTAAAAAGTTAATTGGCAGTTAAATTTTGATATCAAATATTCAACACTTGATATAAACAGATTATTGTTATTAATATCCAGAAATTCAGAGTAAACTTCCTGTTTCT